TGTTTGGTGTGTTCTTGTTTTCAGTTTGCGAGTATTTTATTGAGTATTTTTGCCTCAATGTTCATAAAGGAAATTGGTATGAAATTCTTTCTTTGTTGGGTCTTTTTGTGGTTTGGGTAAAGGGGTTACTGTGGCCTCATAGAATTAATTTGACAGTGTTCCTTCTGTTTCTATTTTGTGGAGTAGTTTGAGGAGTATTGGTATTAGTTCTTTGAAAATTTGGTAGAATTCTGCATAGAAAGCATCTGGCCCTGGGCTTTCTTTGATTGGTAGACTTTAATGACTGCTTCTATTTCTTTAGTGGTTATAGGTATATTTAGGTTGTTTGCCTGATCTTGATTTGACATTGGCAAGTGTTACCTATCAAGAAGATTGTCCATTTCATTTAGATATTCCAGTTTGTTGAGTGCAGGTTTTGAAATATGACCGGGTGATCTTTGGGTTTCCTCAGTGTCTGTTGTTACCTCCCCCTTTCTATTTCTGATTTTGTTTATTTGGATACTGTGTCTCTGCATTTTGGTTAGTTTGGCTAAGGGCTTGCTATTTTGTTGATTTTCTCAAAGAACCAGCTCTGGTTTTGTTGATTTTTTTTTTTTTTGTATTGTTCTCTTTGTTTCTAAGTTATTGATTTCAGCCCTGAGTTTGATTATATCTTGCCATCTACTACTCTTGGGCGTGTTTGCTTCTTTTTCCTCTAGAGCTTTCAGATGAGCTGTGAAGTTGCTAGCGTGGGATCTCCCCAGTTTCATTGTAAAGACACTTAGTGCTATGGACTCTTAGCACTGCTTTCATTGGGTCCCATAAGTCTGGGTATGTTGTGCTTTCATTTTCATTTAATTCTAGGAAATACTTAATTTCTTTATTTTCTCCCTGACCCAGTGGTCATTGAGTAGGAAGTTGTTCTGTGTCCATGAGTTTGTAGGCTCTCTGTTGTTTCTGTTGTTGAAGTCCATCTTTAATCCATGGTGGTCTCATAGAATGCAAAGTGTTATTTCAGTTTTCTTGTATCTGTTGAGGTTTGCTTTGTGACCAAGTATATGGTCAATATTGGAGAAGCTTCTGTGATATGCTGAGAAGAAGGTATATCCTTTCGTGTTTGGATGGAATGTTCTGTAGATGTCTGTTAGGTTCATTTGATTCATTACATCGATTAGTTTCATTATTTCTCTGTCTAGTTTCTGTCTCAATGACCTGTCCATTTGTGAAAGTGGGGTATTGAGGTCTCCCACTATTGATTTGTAAGGGATCAATGTGTGGCTTAAGCTTTATTAATGTTCCTTTAACAAATGTGGGTGCCCTTATATTTAGGCCATATGATCAGAATTGAGATGTCATCTTGGTAGATTTTTCCTTTGATAACTATGAAATGTCCTTCCCAATCTCTTTTGATTAATTTTGGTTGAAAGTCTTATTAGATATTAGAATGGCTACTTCAGCTTGTTCCTTGGGTTCATTTGCTTGGAAAACCTTTTTTACTCTGAGGTAATGTCTACCTTTGTATTTTGTGTGCCTGAGATTCTATCTTCCATCTCTTCAATTCTGTTGGTGATGCTTGCATCTGTTGTTCCTGTCCTCTTCCCTAGGTTTTCCATCTCCAGGATTTCCTCAATTTGTGTTTTACTTATTGTGTCTACTTCCATTTTCAGGTCTTGAACTGTTCATTTTCTTCACCTGTTTAACTGTGTTTTCCTGTGTTTATTTATTTCCACTTTAAAGGCCTCTATCTGTTTGCTTGTATTTTCCTGTATTTCTTTAAGGAGTTTTTTAATTTCCTCTTTAAAAGCCTCTATACTCTCATAAAGTTGGATTTAAGGTCATCTTCTGTGCTTCAGATATGTTGGGATAACCAGGGCTTGTTGTGGAAGGATAGCTGGGCTCTTGTGCTTGCCATATTCCCCAGGCTCTTGTGGATTATGTTCTTACACTGGCCTTTAGCCATCTGGCTGTCCTTGGTGGCCGTGTTCCTGATACAGGACTCCTCAGGGAATCAGGCAGAGACTTGGGTCTGACTGGAGCTCAGGGAAGAGCCGCTGCTGACCTCTGGTAGCTGTGCCTCAGGTGGTATTTTGATCATATTCATTTTCCATTGCCCTCTCAAATGCTCAGTGAGAGTGAGCACGTGTGTGTGTGTGTGTGTGTGTGAGAGAGAGAGAGACAGAGAGAGAGAGAGAGAGAGAGAGAGAGAGACCCAACGAATTTAACTAAGTTTATTATGTGATCATGGATAAGGGGTTGTTTATAGGATCATGATCAACTTTCAGTGGCTATGTCACTGAAAAAAAGTTCCCTCTCTCCCCATATTAGTAACTTCCCATTTTGTTTGCATATTGTTTATACTTGTTTTTACTATTTATTTCCTTTCCTCTCACAGCTGTGAGATTTGTTGTTCCTAAGAGACTTACTTTTAGTTCTTTAGATTGTAAAGTTAGGTTATTGATATAAGATCTTTTTAAATATAAACATTGATAACTAGTTTCTAAATCTACTCCTTTGCTCATTTTTTTCATGTTATGTTTTCATTTTTAGTCATATCTCAAAGGCTTTTCCTTTGATCCATTATTTCCTTGGAGGGCTTAAATAGCATGAGTGAGTCCTGGGTTCCATTTCCAGTGCTGTATCACCCAGTAGTCTGTATATGCTTGTAATTCCTGCAGTTGGGACATGGAGGCAAGGAAAATCACATAGTGAGTTTGAGACTACTTGAGATCCTGTCTCAAAAAAAGAATAGAATTCAATTTTTACAATTGTTAGATTCTGTCATCATTTAATATAGACAGAGAGGATTCTTTGTATGATATCTGATTTGTTCAATATACTGAAATGTAATTTAACAAATGGTCTATTCTAGAAATACACCTGTGTAGTTTAGAAAAACTCATATCATCTTGTTTGGCATTTTCTGTGTTTTCTAGATCTAGTTGGATTACTACATTGCTTAAGTCCTTTGCACAATTACCATTTTTTTTCCCAGTGGAGATGAGAGAAGACAGAAGAGAGAAGAAACCCCTGTTATTGTCAATAATATTTTTCTTAATTCCCTCTATTTCTCTTTTATATATTTGGGTGGTCTCTGTAATATACATGAATGCTTGTTTCGTGTCTTCTGCTATTGAAATGTCAATCAATATACAATATCCTTTTTCATATAACCTTTTTTATTTAAAAACAATTTTTCTGAGTCATCCCATTCACTTTTGTTTTTTTATTTGCATGGAATATCCTCTTTCCATTTCATTTTATTTGTGGTTTTGTATATAAATGAGTTTCTTGTAGATAGCATGTAGGTGGGTCATTTGTTGTTTTATATCTTCCAATCTCTACTGTTTTTTTGTTGAGTTCAAACTACTTGTATTTAAAGTAATTAAAGATAATTACTATCAATAATAATAATAATATAGAGCTTATTTATATACTTACCCACATAGTTTTTAAATTCCCCCTCTCCTTTCTTACATTAAGCTCTTCCTTTGTCTTTAATCAATTCTTGTAATAAAATGGTTCAAAGTATTTCCTTTTTATTTTGTGTATACTGTCCTTATGGAGAGATTACATTTAACCTATTAAAGTTGAAACATTTGAATTTTATTTATGCTAGATTAATTTCAATAACTTATAAAACTATGCTTTTTCTATCACTCTTACTCTTATCCTTTTCAGCTTGTTTTCTCCTTCCACCTTTATGTGAATTCTTGAGGTTGAGCTCAGGTTGCCAAGCTGGGGCAGAAAACACCTTTAAACACTGAGATGTCTCACTGGCCTTCTTTCAGTTATTAAAATTAAAAATTTCACTCTTATGTATGTGATGTGTTCAAGAAAATATAAGCCAACAATAACCTTAAAATGTACTTGCTTCTTAAATTATATTTGAATATATAGTTATAAATCTTAGTTGCAATATTAATTTTTGACATTAATAATTATTTTAGTAAAGTATTTGTTTCTTAAAAATAGTAACCGGGGGAAATGGCTCAGTGATTATGAATTATGATTACACTTCCAGAGGGCCTGGACTCATTTCCCAGCACCCACATAAACCATCTGTATCTGCAGTCCCAGGAAATCTGACACCCTCTGCTGGCCTCCATGGCAGTGCACACAAATGTTGCACAGACACACATGCAGGCAAACACCCCTACACATATAATAAAAATAGCCTCAAATGTTACAGAGTTTTAGTACAATGAAATTAATAGTTACTCATATATTTCCTTTTTATTGAGACCTTTCTCCTCTAGCCACTTTAAGCTCTTGTTTAAAGTCCTTTCACTTTGTTTGTGGGCCTCCCTCCAGCATTTTTTACAGGGCAGAGGTGTCTAATGTAATGAACTCCCTTGTCCTTTGCTTACCTGTGAGGTCTCAATCATGACTCACGTGTATTCACTCCCTACAGGGAACTTGGTTGACAGAGACCTTTTCTTTCAATCTCTTTAGTCTGTCAACCACTGAGACTATCTCTGGGAGGTGAGCCACTTTTTTCTGCTGTCTCTGTGGTTCAGACTGGTTTTGGCTTTTGAGAAATTGACTACATTATGGATGAGTGAGGATCTCTTTCAGTTCATCTTGGCAGGTTGTTGAGCACAGTTGTTTATTTTCATATCTTTTGTCAATTTTGTGATCATTTGCCATTATTTCTTTAAATATTCTCTCTGATTCTCTTCTTTCTTGTCCTGAGACTGCTGCAGGTACATGTTGGTCTGCTAGACAATGTCCCATGAATCCTTCAATCTCCAACCCCCCACTTCTTGGAGATAAGATCTTGTCACCCAGGCTACCCTAAAGTCAAAGTATTTCAGATACTGAAGCATCAGTAGAGCATATGATGGACTAAGGAGGTATGCCACATGCCACACTGTTGCAGAAGACTTTACTAACTTAGTGTATTTATTTGCTCTTTGACTTGAAACATTAAAAATAATGTATAAACTGTGTTGCCACTTTTCCCATTGGTTACTCAATGCATGAAAAATGGTTAAGTCATAGTGCTGTACTTTTTGTTACAGCTTACTACAGCCACCTTGGATGGGAAACTTCAGCTGTTTGTGGCTGAGTGACTGCTGACCTGCTGGTAAGAATACAAGAAGAAATGAGAGAAAGAATTCATGGCATACCTATTGAGGTGGACAGGGCAGTTTTCATAGGAGACCCTTGCTGGATTCCCATTCTGTAGGACTCACTCCCACCTGAGATTCCCTCCTCTTTGGAAAACCTTCATAGAAATAGTGGAGATGGTAGTCTGTTTGTGCAGAGTATTCTTCAATAAAGATGAGCCAGTGTCTGTTCTCTGAGTGTACCTTGAGGGGAGGTAGAGATGGAGAGGAGCAAGAGTAAGACAGGAAGCCGCCCTGACACTAGTAGCTCATCTTATTCTCTACTCTGTAGCGTTTTGCTTAATTCCCGCCACAGTGGCAGCTACCCTTGAGGGTGCCAGGTGCCAAGGATAGAGTGGCCCTATGCTGTTCACCTTGATGTCCCACCCTGGTCTCTCCAGGGTGAGCACAGCTGAGGGGCAGAAGACGGACAAGCCATACTCAGTCTAGTCTTCTCAGTCTCTGATGAGATGGTTCTTGTGATTCCTTTTTGGTATTTGAAAGATAAAATGATTCATATTCTGGGGAATATGTCATGGGTTTGCTCAACATTGGCACATCCATGTGTTTGAAGACATCAAAGCAAGAATGTAGTCATGGTCCCAAGCCTGGCCACAGAGGGATTTGGCCCAGACCTTCTGGAATAAGCAATTTTGGTTCATTTTTCCCTTTCCCTTGAAAGGCTTTCTTTGCAGATGTGGGCCTCATTCTTTTCACTAAGTTTTAAAAGACTATGAAGTGCATTCCAAGCCTGTTCTGGGAGGAGCTGGCCTTTCCTTCGTAGTGTGGCCATTTTCTGATGCATGTGACAGGTGGCTGGAGGAGCACATACATACAGGTATAGGCACTTGTGGGTCGCAGGGGCACACAGACAACAAGAGACAGGCCCTCTAGAACCTCATTCCCAGCATTATGATGAAACTGAACTATTTGGAAATTAAGCTTTTTGCCTGACCACATTTTGACCCGCAGAAGTGCCTCATTTGACTGTTCTTAAAAAAAAAAAAAAAAAAAGAGTGACCCTAAAATGCTGTCTTCATAACTTTTATTCTTTTCTCTTTCATTTTTATTCCCTTTTTATTACCAACCATAGTTTATCCATATTATAATCAGAATCAGCTTACTTTGGTCTGTTTCTTGTGTGTAACTTCCCTCCTTATTCCTGACACTGCTGTGGCATTGGCTTTTTGATGCTCTGTGCTCTGAGCACCAGGGAGGCTGAGGAAGCTCCATATGATATAGGAGTTTTTCTTTTTGGTAGAAATCCTTCTCAGATGAACAGGTGGCATTTTTCAGGGGCTGCTGAAGCTCATAGTCCCTCAGGGTGTGAGGCCTCAAGTTATCTCCGGCATGTTTACAAGAGGAACTTCAGCACAGCAGCAACAGAGACTCCACTTCCCTTGTAGAGTAGTGTGCCCAAGATTCGGCCCACCCCGAGCCAGTGAGAGCTTGATTTTTCAGAGGGCCCACAACTTCAGACTGGTGTCAAGGAGCACTGCTCTTATTTTCTCTATTAGTACAAAAGAAGAGATGCTGATTAGTGTAAGTTCTGGACGAGCGGTGTTAAGAGAAAATCAAATGTATTGATGCAAATTTAAAGTATTGATTTAGTGCCTACCCCAAACACTCAAGCACCATTTCAGCCTTGAGTTAGGTGGTGCCACCCATTTCTCAGCCTTCTTTCTTTAAACACCAGTATAGTTTCGTGGAGGTAATCTCATGGTTTGAATCTGAGTGTCGATAGTGTTTTAAATACTTGTCCCCAGGTAGAAGTACTATTTGGGAGGATATGGAACCTTGGGAGATAGGACTTGGCTCTTTGGTTACTAGGGTCAGTGTGCTGGCTAGGTTTTTTTCAGCTTGACACAAACTAGAGTTATCCTAAAGGAGGAAACCACAAAAAAAAAAAAAAAAAAAAGCTTTCATTAGATCCCAGCAAGTGTCCTTTTTATTTCTATTAAGAAACAATTAGGTTAGACTAAAATCAGAAGGAAGGAGAGGAGTACCTCCCTGATGAGTGGACTTGGGGAGGGGCATGTGTGAAGAAGGGGAGGGAGGGCGGGACCGGGAGGGGAGGATGGAGGGGCTTATGGGGGAATACAAAGTGAATAAAGTGTAATTAATAAAATAAAATAAAATTAAAAAATAAAAAATAAAAAAAAAGAAACAATTAGGAAAGTGCCCCTACAAAATCCAGGTGTAAGGCTTTTTTTTTTTTTTTTTTTTTTTGCATGCAGCACCATGCCTAGCCTGCTACAAATTTCTTTTTCTTCCTTTTTTCTTTCTTGTTTGTTTTTGTTTTGTTTTGTTTTTTTGTGGCAGAAACTCTGGGAAGCCTTGACTGTCCTGGACTCACTTTGTAGACCAGGCTGGCCACCAACTCACATCGATCTGCTTGCCCCTGCCTCCCTGAGTGCTGGGAATCACAGGTGTGCACCACCACGCCTGACAAGCATCTTCTTTTTTATTTCTATTGTTTTTAATGATTAAGTTATTCACTTTTCATCCTAATTGCAGCTTCCCCTTTATCCTCTCCTCCTGGTCCCTTCCTCCCTCTCCCCTTCTTCGTTCCCCATTTTCTTAATTAGTGATTGATGGGGGAGGGCCCAGCCCATTGCAGGTGGCACCACCTCTGGGCTGGTGGTCCTGATGACCAAGCCAATAAGCAGCAGCTGCCATGACCTCTACATCAGTTCTTGCCTCCAGGTTCCTGCCCTGCATGAATTCCTGCCCTCACTGCTTTTGATGATGAATTGTGAGCAAAATAAATCCTTTCTTCCCAAAAGTCCTTTTGGTCATGGTGTTTCATCAAAACAGTAGTAACCTTAACTAAGACGGTCAGGCTTTTAGAGCCCAGGCTGAACCAGTTTGCTGCTGAGGCTGTGTGACTGAGAAACCATTGTTCCCACATTTTCTGAATGTCCACTCACTGGGTTGCATTTAAAAAAACAAACAACAACAACAACAACAAAAAACACTACTTTTTACAGACTTTATGTATTTATTTTTTTGTCTCAACAAATTCAAATGTGAGCTTTCTCAGAAATTCCCTGGAGTGTGTCCAGAACCTTTGAATGTATTATCCTTTGTGTTGGGCAACAAGTATGATTGGAAACAGGATATATAAAAATATGTGGCTTTTATAGAAGACATGAGTGAACTTCAGAGTGCAATAAACTGTGCACAAGCTGCTTCCTAAATATCTTGTCTGTACAAGCTATGTGTTTTATATCCATGGTTCTACAAACTGACAGTTTCCAGTACCAAACAGTAAGCACCAACTGCCATGATGCCAACTCTCTTACAAGGTGAAGCCTTTGAAACAATACAAGTTATAGGCAAACTAGTCAACTAATATGACCAGAAATATGCAGCCATGTTTTCACAGCTGCCATCTGAAACTAGTGGTGATATTTGGTGTGGGTTGTGAAATCACAAGAAAATAGACGTATGTTTGGAGGAAGGGATCTAGAGCTTTCCTGATCCTTTCTCTTGCTGTAGGCACTAAAGGAGGGACCCATTCCCCCACCTACCTTAGGTAAACTCTGCCATGGACTAATTAGGGCAGTCCTGTCAGGCCCTGGCTGTTCTGCTTTCTCCTTTGTAAGCTGAGTCTGGCTGAAATGCTAGTGAGGGTTGGCCCAGGCTTACACTGCTCACTTCCCAGTGGCTGCAGTAAAATCATAGGTACTGTTTGTAACAGGCACCCAGGGATGCCCTCAAGGACACTGCACCAATGAAGTGAAAATCCATGCTCACCCCCTTTTTCCTTGCTGCCCGTCAGAATCCCAGTGCTGGACTTTTGTGACACCTCCTGAAGAGTGTTCCGTCTGTTGCAGGGGATACCTCTAACCCTGCAGAGTGAACAGTGAACACACTCCAGAAAGAAGCAGCATATTTCACTGACATATTTAAGGACTGTGTTTGTGAACTTGACACCAACCTGGTCATAATCTGAGAAGAAGAGACCTTAGCCTGATGCCTCTATCAGACTGTCATCTTCTTGACTTATGATTTATATGGGAGGACCCAGCCTACCATTGGCCAGTGCTATATACCCTGGGCATGTAGGCATGGCTTTCCTAGGGAAGAAAGCGGAGCAAGCCTTAAGGAGAGAGCCAGTTACCAGACTTCCTCCATGGCTCCTGACTCTGTTTCTGCTTGAGCTCCTCCTCTGACTTCCCCAAATGATGGACTGTGTCAAAACGTAGAAACCGAATAATCCCTTTCCTCCCCAACATCCTTTTGGTCAGTATTTTATCACAGCAACAGAGAAGCAAACTATGACAAGAACCAATTTGCACGCAATTCAAACATGACAAACGTGTAAGTTTTAAGCAAAATTCCAACTCTAGAAGTTTATTTGTTTTCCTTTACGTGTAGAATTATGCTGAGTCCTGATGAAGACAGGAGTAAAACACTGTCTGAGAGTTCTTCTGGAAGTTTCTTTGTTGTTTTGAAATAGGGTTTTTTAAAATTCTATTGTAATAAAAATTCTTTTGCACCATTATAGAATTGTTAACAGTCCATGTCCATGACCAGAAAGAAGTTGACTTTATCAGCCTGCACACCCGATCTCTTGTAAGGAGATAATTTCTGCAGTGTTCTTTCATGGTAGGACAGGGTACCAGGCCATCAGAGGACAATCTAGCAACTCCTTTGCAGTCTGCAGTAGTGGCTCACACAGACAGCTTCTTAGCCAGTGCAGGTCAATAGCAGGTCCACTAAAAATCCGGAGTTGCGAAATTTTGGCAGCCAATTATGTATGAAGCATACTGTTGAATTATTTAGTCTGCGGCAACAGGATAGAGCCTTTTTTCAAAACCTAAAAAGACCCTTCCTTGACATCTTGAGATCTTCCCAGTGATTTACTTTCTTCCACAATGATGGAATATAAACAAGCTTCCTCCTTGCACATATAGACAGTCCCAACTCTCTCATGCTACACAGAAGTGTCTGTCTGCACTCAGGCTGTGCCACACCACAGGGACCAGTTTGATCTAACCCACATGAAAACACCACTCTCCCCAGGAGGCCTGGTCCAGAGCCCTAAGATTCTTCCTACCCTCGCTCTCAATCCTGAGCCCCAGGGCTCTCCCTACTCCCTGACCATGGTCTTAAGTGACAGTACTCCTTTCTGCTCCCTGAACAAGCAGGCCCTTCTGTAGCTTGGTGGCTCATGTTCTTCCACTTCCCAGAATGAAACACACACACACACACACACACACCCCTTCCTGCAAGATTGCCATACTGTCTGTCCAGGCAGAAGTGCCTTTTACACAGTACCCAGCAGCTCCCTCTCAGTTTGTGACAGGATTTTCTCAGCTTCCCACAAGCCTGTGAACCTGGGAAGGGTGCCCAAGGTCATGACTCCCTGTGTCCCCAGCTCCCTGCTGGGCTGGAGTATGCCAGCTGGAGCTCATACCATTTTCCCCACAGTGCCCCTTCATACACAGGGAGAGGCCAGAGCCTCATCTATTTCATCTTCTAACAGAGCCAGTTCCCCAGGGATCACATCTCACTGTGAGGCTGGGTTACTGCCCACCTACTGAGCACTTCCCTGCTTCTACCCACAGGCTCTAGCCATGGTACTCAGCTGCCTGAGTCTGTGGGACCACCTGCAGCTGAAGCTGCCTGAGCCCTGCAGTCAGGGGACACCCAGAGGTGAGCAGGTGCTGCCACTGACCCATAGCCCCTCCACACATTTCACAATTATCTCCTACCCTGGAGTCCAGACTAGGCCACTGTGAGAATTCCGTAGCAATGACTGCTCTTGTTTTTGGTTTTCCTTTTGTGATAACGGTGTCCAGGATTTATATTTTCCTTGAGTTGGTGGGCACTGTCTGTAGCCTGTTGTTGTCTGCTTACTACCCATTCAGTTCTCACCAAACCCTAACTTAGCAATTATTAATCATATTTCACAGTTAGAGAAACTGAAGCTTTTGCTTATGGTCTGGTTGCTAGTGCTGGACCAGAATTACCATTCAGAAGTTGCGGCCAAGGCCTCAGGTTAAGGATCACTGCTTAGCAGAGAAGGCCTAGGGAAGCTTCCCAGGCATTGATGGACTCTGCAGGAGAGACAGGCTGAAGCCCAGATGAGACCTTTCTTTTTCAAGAAAGACGCAAGCAACCAAGGTAGAAGACTTAGGAATATATCTACAGCAGTCATCTTCATGCCGTCACTTCTGCAACCAGGTCACACCCTTTTGTGGCAAGCTTGGTAGTTTCCCCTCATACAGGACTGGGTGGGTGTGTGGGCATGCCTCTGTCAGCATTTACTTTTGAATAAGACAATCCTACAACACAAGTCAGGCTTGGGGGTGGGGAAGGGGAGTACTGTTTGGAGATGGGTGGGTCTGCAGCCTGGGCACTGCGTCTGCAGTTCATAGCTTGGGTGCTCTGAGGTCTGGGATACAGGAGTCTGCAACACCAGTGCCCTTGTCAACACTCCCGCTCACACAAAGAGACATGCTCTGGAAGCTAGAACTGCTGTGTTCTTAAGGGAATTTGTCTTAGTCACTGTTCTGTTGCTGTGAAGAAACACCATGACCAAGCCAACTCTTTTTTTTTTTTTTCCCGCCTCGAGACAGAATTTCTCTGTGTAGCCTTGGCTGCCCTGGAGCTTACTCTGTAGACCAGGCTGGCCTTGAACTCACAGAAATCTACCTGCCTCTGTCTCCTGAGTGCTGAGATTAAAGGTGTGTGCACTACTGCCCAGCTCTAAGCCAATTCTTATAAAAGAAAGTGTTTAACTGGGGCTTGCTTACAGTTTCAGAGGTTTAGTCCATGAACATCATGGTGTCCGTGCGGCGGCACACAGGCAGGTGCCAGAGCAGAAGGTAAGTGTGTTACTTCCTGATATGCAAGCAGAGGGAGAGAGTCCAGGCCTGGTGTGAGCTTTTGATCCCTCAACGCTCACTCCCACTGACACACCTCCTCCAACCAGGGCAGACCTCCTGACCTTCTAATCTTTTGAAATGTGGCCACTCCCTGGCGACTGAACATTTAAATATATGAGCCTCTGGGGGCCATTCTCATTCAGACCACCACACGTCATCATGAGCTGAGCATGAGGCTGAGGTGGCAGCAGGAAGGTAGTCAGTAGACACAGAGGCTGGCAGCCTATAAGGTCTGTTGTCCATTTAGAATTTAACAAACACACCTGCCTCATTGTGGGCATCACTCATTGCAGCTGCAAGTCCAGCAGGAGCCAGGGTCGGCGGTTGAGCACTGTCTGTGTAGTGCCATGCGCCTGTCTGGGTGTGGCCATGGCGAGAATCTCCACTCATTCCACACTGCTATCATTCCTTACTGGTAATGAAGTTGGGCCTCAGAGGCATGTGTAACCCCACCTGTGGCATTACCGGGCTAGAAGACCCTGAGGCTACCTGCCCTCTGGGCCATTACTGCTGGGGATCCCTGAGGCTCAATGAGCTATCCTCCTAGCGTATGTCTTCAGGATGTTTGGCTGTATTCTGATTCAGTGGCTGTGGACACTGATGCAGTGTGTTCACCTGCTTGATGGAGGGGAGAGCACCCAGCTCTCCTGAAGTCTGAGGAGCAGAGGCTCAGTAGCACAGTTACACTCTTAAATACCAGGAGGAAGCATTGCTGTCATAACTTATATTCTGAAAGTGCATAGCATGGGAAGGAATAATACACCAGCTCACTCACAATGATCAGTTAAGCTGAGAGACTCTTTTGCATGAATCTGTATGCTGGCCTGTGATAGAGGCAATGTATATCGCTGTGGCCAGCGCAGCAGAGGTGCCTTGGTGATACTTAGGGAGGACTAGCCTCAGAGA